CTATACAATGTGTCCTTTTTTAATATTTTTATTGAGCTAGGCTCATGGCTTTGTAAAAATTCTGTTTGTAGTTAAGCACAAAGTTACACAATGGGCTATCTATACTCTGCCCACCACGGGCATCGAAACTCGGTTTCTAGCGTTGTAAATCCGCAGACATACCGCTGTGCCACTGGGGAACATTGTAAAAATTTAACGTTTACATGAAGGTCAGAAACTGTTTTCTACTGCAGTATACTACATACGCCCATTGAACTGGAATAACAAAATCATCACATTCAAGAACACTCTTATCCAGCAGAAAATAAAAAAGTATCCCTAATACACTGTATGTTAAGGAAATGTCAAATAAAGCCAGCAAAGAAATGAAGCAAAAATAACTCAACAAATAAAACAGAATCTCGTTCACAATAATAACGTTCAACTCAACTGGCGATTTTAAGTTGTAATATAATATTTAATTAACTGTTGAAACAGCGAGCAGGATTTCTTTGTATCTGCACAAGACAGGGAAAAGAATTAGAATAATAAAATGTCACCCTGACATGTGACAACGAATGTCCTAGTATGATAACCCACAACCCTAGATTACGTACATCAGCACCTAACACTCCAATATTAAGCTCATATCCGAACTTGAAGAAAAGGGATCCTTACATTTCCTTTACATCAGGATTACTAAAGAAGATAAACTTTTTTCTGCTTCTGTTTATCGTAAAAATACTTGTACGGATCTTTGCGCTAATTACAAAAAACTTCTTCAAAAGTTTGATGTCATTTCAATGTTAAACAATTTTTAATCTATGCTATAATTACTCTACACAAAGAAATTAGACTTCTGCACAAACAACTGTTAAACAGTAGCTATCCGAATGACGTTCTACCAAACATAACTCGCAATTAAAAAAAAGAAAAAATTCAGCCAATCACTATTTTGCCCACCGTCCTCAACTTTCTCTTATTTATCTGCCTTCCTTTTATAGACTCACATACATGGCAAATTAATAAAACAACTCTAATTTTTGATTTAAAAAAAAAAAAACGTAATATCTTCAGTTTCAGCTCAAACTAAGACATAGACCTAGCCTCCCAAATACATATTTTATTACAAAGATTTGTGGTTCGTGTAGTGAATGTATGATCACATACATTGACAAAACAAATCGCCACTTAAAGTCTGTTGAACATTAAGGAGCATTCAATAGGACCGGCTGTCCATTACTTAAATCCAGCCACTTAACTAATCGTTCACATGCTAAAACCACAGGCCACATTTCATATAACAACTTATTTATCGCTATTACCAGATCTTTATACATCCAACTTCGTACAAATACCACTTCCGACCCCCTAACCTGGACTCCATCCGCAAAAAGTGACGCTTTTCATTTGGTGGGACATCAAAGGATAAATTCATTTCGAACTCCTCATCAACAGCGTGATTGACGAGTGAAGGGCGTTTCTGATGAAGGGCTTGATTTAAACGTTCCAGTTGCTGACTATAGATCTCTGCATTGACAGTTGAAAGGTGTTCTTCTTCTCCACGACACTGCACGTCCACACATGGCACGTTTGACGCAATACAAGATTATGGAGTTGGGTTGGGAAGCCCTCCCCCACCTACCATATTTTACAGATATGGCACCATCAAATTACCACCTTTTTCGTTCGCTGCAATACCATCTTAATGGGAAAACGTATGCAAATGTGGAAGGTGTTAAAGAGGATATTGACATACTTTTTGCTTCAAAGCCAAGTGAGTTCTTTAATTAGGGCATTAACAACTTGACTGTAAGATGGAAAAGCACCATCGATAAGAATGGAGACTATTTAATTTAATAAATGTTTTGTTTTGATATGTAAGTTGTTCAGGTTTTTTTCATCTAAAAAAAGCGACATTAATTTCTTGACGACCCAATAGTTTTAAACGTCAAAATGTTTTAAATTTAATCAAAACATCTTTGCATAAAGCTTTGAAATAATTATTTACCTTTACACCAAGCAACAGAATTAGTTCGTGCTTCTTATCATGTTGTGAACGGAAGAATAGTGTGTATTTTTTATAGATTACTGTTTTTGCTACAAATGAGTCACATTGTAATTTTAATGATGAAATCTGTAATTACATTTATTGAGTCAGCATCGATTGAAAGACAGCACCAACAATGGCTACACAAAATAAATATTTTCTTTTAAAATACTAGTCCAGGAAATGAACACTGTTATAAGTTTTAATTTCTCAAATGTATGTGTTTTTAAAATGTTCCTTTTGTGTAGTGTTTTAGCATCCTGCAGGCTATTGTTTTCGAAGAAACAATCGCTAACTTATTCTTTTTCTTAACTTATTCTAACTTATCAAAGTTTAACTCTTTAACTCAAAAGTTATATTTGCAACCATGTTAATATTAAACTCAAGAGCAGAACAGGAATTTCAACCAGTGTTACTCTTCTTTTATACAGTTCTGTATAGTAACTGTACAAGTGTTAACTCTGAAGGTTACCATAAACATATTTTTACAGAATTACATATTATACAATTTTGGTATCCAAAGTTTTTCTTTAAGAGTTACTTTAGAATCCTATTAATAAGATAAATGAAATTACGATCTGCTTCATAAAGAGTTATAAAGATTCAAATACTTTCTAAAAATGAATTATGTTCCCTGCTTTATTACTGACATAATTATAACTGAACGTAGTTACAACCCTTCGAATTCCTCTCTTTGATGTTCCAAAAAAGTGGAACACACTATTGTTATCGTATACTAGCGAATACATGGTAAAATTTAAAATCAAATTAATAAAATTAGTTGGACATATTAGTTATCTACAAATACAACTAAGAAATAATTTAAAGCAAATTATTATAATAAAATATTTGTTTCAAAATCTAGACAACGTACTGAAAGGTAAGCATCCATTGGTTGTTTATAATTTACATCTTCGTGGTACAATGTGGCATATATATGTGGTTCACAGTTAGGTGTCTCTCTACACGTACCAAACAACACCTACCATCAAATTTTAAGGATACATCGCGCTACAGTAGTTGCACGATTGGTGTCTGATATTTTCAATACAGCTTAAAATTAACAACCAGGATAACAGAACGTCTGCTACTAACTCATCTCAAGACTAGTCTGGACCAACTGTTCTGTTATTATTATAGAGGTAACAAAACATGTTTCAAAATCACATTACAACTACTCCAACTGATAACAAAAATTGTGTAGCATAACACTATAAAACCCAGAAAGTTTTAAATATTACAACATTTAACGTTATGACTAACTTTGGAACAACTCTTCCAAAATATTAAATGAATGGAACGAGCCTTCCTACAAATAAAATGGATCCGTTTGGAAATACTTATATCTGTTCAAACAATGATATTGTAAAAGACGAAAACACGCCATAAAATCTTCTATTAAAAACTGAAGACAGAAGAATGAATAATAAAGAAGATAAATACCATTATCAAACAGAGATAAAAAATAGAGACTAATCAAACATCTGTTTTCTCATCTATTCGTAAGTTTATCTCGAATTCAATTTTTATAACTCTGGTGAACATATGGTATATACCCATTTAGAAGCAGGTGTTATTTTAATTTTACCTTTCATTGAGGCTTTCTATTTATGTAGAAATTAGTGTTGATTAAATCTGTAAATTCCAACACTGTCGACATCTAATGGTTGGGCTCCTTATTTAAATAGAATACTTGTATACTTTAATTTTTTCATGTTTGCAAGTATTAGATACGTTCTTCCAGAAAGATCTAATAAATTATCTTGACATGGTAGCTTTTTCTAAATCGTTTTTATCGTCACAAAAAGGCCACATCTTGCCTGAATTTAGAAAAATAATCTAAACGGTAGAATATATAAAGAGGACTTTACTCCACCTTCAGTCCATTTCTCTTTGATTCTCATATTTTTCAAGTGATTTCTGTTTGACAATAGAATTTATATGTTGTGCTATTATTTTTATTACGAACACAACCTAGTATCATTATTATTTTTTCTACTTCTTGCTCGTTATTATTATTTTTATTTTAAACAACTTGCAAGTACAATATTTTACTTTCTAATTTCCATTATCAACTTATTAAGAATTAATTGACAGTTTACTGGTAAAAGCCACTCGTTATTTATGTGTTGGAATAACCACTTTCACTCAATTTTCAACTTTATCAACAGATTATTTTTCTTCAAGCAAACAATCGTCAGATTATAAAAATATTAAAGAACAAAACTGAACAAGAGATTAGATGCATCAGAATGGATATTCCCTTCCTACTGACTAGATGTATCGGTTTGGTAACTTTCTTCAGAATCAACATATCAGCTTGAATATTTACTTCCTATTGACGAAACGTGTCGGCTTAGAAACAGTGTAGGACTTTTTTCTTAACTAATCAAATGTGAGCAATCAAGAACTGCTTTGTTAAAAAAACAACAACTCTCAATTACTATGGATAAGTCGAAACGCAATGTGATTGAACTTTGTTTAATACTCAGTATTCGAAATAATTATTTACCATTTTCTCCGGGAAGATAACTTTTCTTTTTTGTTTTCTTAAGCTCGTCACACACGGGGCTTAGAGGATGGAATACAGAATTCCACTGGTCAGGAGCATAGTGCCAATGTTTGGAAATAAGAACCAGAGTTCGATTTGTGTGATAGGCCTTCACAAAACACCAGAGGACATCATGAATACCAGAAGCAAAACCAGAGGGATTAGTTAGATTGCAAATCAGTGTTTGCTTCATCTTGCACGTCTGTGGATTCTATGTAACAAGATACAATAATATACATTAACACACACGTGTATACATCCGTTGAAAGCATTTAAATAGCAGTGTAAACAAAGAATGGTTTTAAACGTGCAACTGTCGTAAGTTTTTTTATAATTAAAACTAAGCTTTCTGATATAATATTGGATAACAGCAAATCCTCTTTAAGAAAGTTCCTTTTGTTAATGTTAATTGTTTTCCCCAATATGTATATGTTGCGAAATCTTTAACCATTATATGGATGAATTGAAAGTAATAAAACCATTCGTAGAAATTTACAATATATAATTCAAATAATTAATGTAAGATAGGAAATTTGAATTATGTTCAATATGATACGGACCAGGGAATTATTATGCTTCATTGTCAAATACCTTATTAAAAGTATGTTGTAAAAAGAAAAACTTTTTCTATTGACTTCCTCATTATTTATTATATACATTGCAGGTTAACAGCTCATTCCCCAATGATAATGATTTTTAACATTTTTATTTTCAAAGTGCAAAATGTAATGACAAATGTTTTCCATCAATTAAACTGTACCAAAGAATTAAAGGTCTAATGTAGGATCTTAACGATGAGAAGGAAAAAACAAAACACGTTATAGAGTAATGTAAGTTACGTCCTTATTTTTATGCATATTAAGCACCTGATGATCCGTCATTTGAGTTGAAAGGCAAATGACTGGTTAATCAGCACCGGATTGCAAATGAATATTTGTTAGAGATGCTTTTATATTTTTATGCTTCATGACGTTTCATTTCAATATGGAGTATACTCATTATTTACCAAGCTGAAGCAACTTGGTATCATATTGCATGCTTGAAATCAGCGTATTAGTACTTTTCAGGGGTATCCTCAACAGTTCCACAGAAAGAGCCGTTTCCAGGACATCTTTAGTGTTTGGAGTAACTTGACGAAGTTCAACGTGACATCCAAAAGTACTTCATATATGGTCTATGGTCTAGAAGTCGAAAGATTATACAGGTTGCTCTGTTTGGTAAAACACCTGTTTTTCAAGGAATATGTTTATCAGTTTAGCATCGTGAGGAGATGGATATTATGTTGAACTAAATGGTAGTTGTACCAGCATAGAAGCGTTATAAGATGTAATCATTTAATCATTGGTGCCATTCTGCACAATGTAGCATTCAATATGTCCACCAGTGCTTATTCTTCCCATGTTCTACTTGTACACTTGCGCCACTGTAATATGGTTACACACCAGTGTGAAAATTGGATTATATATGGTTTTAGGTTCTTTCTAAATGAAAAAATGTTTGTTATTCGTCTGCAGCATGAAGCATGACTCTCATGAAAAAAAACATCTTGTTTCAAATTTCGTTGATGCACTTGACATATTCGTGGCATTTTGTGCCTTGCTGTGAACAAAATGCATCCTAGGGGGGAATGAAAGCTGAGAAGCAGAGCAGACTGGTGAAGTATCTTTCTAGCTGTCTGTACATTGACATACTGTCTAGAAACGGCTGTGAACATTTGATCCAGTCTCGGAGCAGGCATCCTAAGATTGAACCGAGCCAGAATCAACTGATATCATTTGTCTAATTTATTTGTGATCTGCGTTACAAAAAGTTAATCACACTTAATAAAAACAATTTGCATATGTCACAGGTTAAATGTCAACAATAATGTATTTTGGTTCACGGCAAATTTTCTACCATCGACCATACAATGCTGCAGCGGTAAATTATAGCTAGGAGACATAAAAAGCCCTTTAAAAGAAAAATATTGATATACCGAGATTGTTAAAGATGCAAAGACAAACCATAAAGCATTTGGAAGCTTTCATTGTTCTTCATAAAGCAGAAATATTCGCACAGTTGTTTCAATTTGGAGAAACACCTTCACCCGTTATAAAAAACTTTGTCCCAAACTGGCATTGAAACGAGGCTGGATATATCTTCTGGTATTATGAACAAGGTAACGTTTGTGACCTAGGATTAACTTCGCTTGTTACAATAAAAACTGCAGTGTTAGGAAAAAGTATTTAATCATGGCAATCAGACAGAGCGCGATTGATGGTGGATGAAGTAGTATAAAAGGCAGCATGGGACATGGAATACCGTTGTATTTTCTTAAATTACGACTAATCCACAATATCCAGGTGTTTCAGTATCATTGGTTTGAAAGCGGTTCTCCATTTTTCTAAGAACACTTTGAGATACTTGTATCTAATACACAACAGCTTGCTGTGATTGGCTGGCTTCCATCTGACCGATGTGTCTCCACATGAATGAAACATTCGGATATTTTCTTTCAGATAAAGCGAGGACAACGTATAGCATTTAAACTCTGTGATTTACTTCAAAGTACTAACAGTATCATGGACGTGTGAGACCATTATATATATATATAGCATAGGCTGAATGGGCATTCATTTGGATTTCATGTATAACTAGGTACCTAAATTACTTCACAAAAGAGGAATGATTGAAGTGTTTCTTGTCATAGCTATAATATTAAACATTGTGATTGTGTTGTGAAGCTTAGATAAAGTACTCCTATATTTAAACCAATACCTGTAGAACATGAATTCTTTTCTGCACCAAATCTGATAATTCTTTCATCTCGTTTTCCCGCCAGATTTCACGTTTGTCTGAATCACCCATTTTATTTACTTCCGACAAAATCACCCTATACATAAAAGAAGTAACTACATATCTTTCTTTAGCTTTAAATCTGTGAAGTATTCATATAAAAAATAGGTTAGAAAATATAGACATGCTTCTGTAAAAAACATATAAAAAAATCCAGTAATATGTTTTCTTCTTAAAATATCATTTTTTAGTTTTATTTATTTATTATTAGGACCTGACATGGTTTGATGGTTAAGGCTCTCGACTCGCAATCTGAGGATCGCGGGATCGAAACTCCTTTTCGAACATGTTCTGACTTTCATCCTAAGGCATTATAATGTGAGAGTCAATCCGACTATTCGTTAACAAAATAGTAGCCCAATATTTGCCTTCTTTCTACTCGACAATTTAAAGTTAGGAACGGTGGTAGATAAACTATGTAGACGTGAAATAAATAAACAAATACAATTATCTATTTATTATTTTTATTCTCGTTTTCCATGAAGGTTTTATCAGTTTTCACTAAACTATTTTGATGTTTCTGTTTTCTTGTATTTTCGGCCAAAGTTACACGAGGGCTATCTGCACATAGCTGTTTCTAACTTTCAACTGATAGAATAGACAAAAGGCAGTTTGTCAACAACATCCACTGCTCTTTGTCTAATCAAATAGTTGGATTTGACTGTCATTCTTACAACACAAAGACGTGATCCATTAACCTTTGAATCCACAGTCTGGGCACGCTAACTACTAGAACACACCAGGTTTGTTTCTCTTTATATAATTAAAATGAATTATTAATATTAAACTGAAAATATTACAGGATATTATTGTATCAAATGCAGTCTGTCCATTTGGGTTATTAAAATCAGTTGACTACATTTCTTTAAAGTTGTTTTCTCATCGGTTACAAATGTATAATTATGTATTTTAGCCCCCCCCCCCCAGTGACACAGTAGTTAGTCTGCGGATTTATGAAGCTGGAAACCAGATTTCAATACCAGTGGTGGGCACAGCATTGATAGTCCATTGTGTTTAACTACAAACAAACAAAAGGATATTGGATTTTCCATTAAAAGTTTCTAACAGATGTGCACCTTCTTTTGATTTAGTGTCCATAATTTCAGGCATGGCACGGCTTGATGGTTAAAACGCTTGACTCACAATCTACGGGTCGCGGGTTCAAATCCCCTTCACCGAACATGCTCGCTCATTCAGCCGTGGGAGTGTTATAATGTGACTGTCAATACCATTATTCGTTGGTAAAAGAGTAGCCCATGAGTTGGTGGTGGGTGTTGTTGACTAGCTGCCTTCCCTCTTGTCTGTCATTGCTAAATTAGGAACGGATAACGCAAATAGCCCTTGTGTATCTTTGCACAAAATTCAAACAAAATCATAATCTCAACAAATTTTTTACTTTCTCTAGTGGCCCGCGGTATGCTTGTGAGTTTATAACAACAAATATTTGGGTTAGATACCCGTTATGAGCACAGTGCAGATATTTTATTGTGTATAGCATTCTTTTAGCTCTTTGAGGTGCAGCCATAACCTGGTCGTTATTGTGCTGGGTTGCATATCGAAAGTTCCGATATGCCACTAAATGCGCTCCGTAATTTCAGCTGTATAACTGTGAGAGTTATTTCGTTAAAAGCCTACTCACCTAACGTTGATTAACTTTTCGTGACCAACTAGCAGTTTTAATCAAATATCTCATTACTTTGTAAAATATATAAAACGTCCAATCTTAGAGATCTTATGGTTATTTCTTTTTTTTTATCAGTATAAGTTTTTTATTTTGAGTATATTTTGATACTAAAAATATATATATATATTATTATTATTTTTTACATTAGTGTAAATATGCATGTTTTGAACTCAAAACAGCATATAACACCTTGTTACATTCAAATATACTCAAACATCAAAAAAGTAATGACCCTCCAAAACACTGCATCGAAAATTTACTTAATGCTTTATTCATGCCTTATACTGACTTACAATCGATATAAATATCATAGATTCAAAGAAAATTGTGCAATTAATAGATTTTCAAAAAAGTCGGTCAAAACACAAAAAGATGCCTTTTCTCACGACTGTGTTGTTAAAAAGTTTACCAAACTATATATTTTTAATTTAATTGAGATTATTTATAATATGTGTTGAAACACAATTAAAGAACGTAAGGTGACTATAAAGAAAATTGTACATTTTAATTGATTATGTACTAAAATATTAATAATCATAAGTTTTATTCTGGAAAGTTTGGAAATTTTATTGTACTGCATACCTAAATCGCTTTTCTCGCAAACTAGTAACGCTTTTATTTATTTCTGTCTCTTCTTTTTTCTCAACTAGAAAATTGAGGTTTTAATAAAATGCGAGACAGGATAATTGAATGCTGTCAGTAAATCCGATACCAAAAGTAACTTAGCTTAGGAATAAACTCTATGTACTGACTGGGACTGGTGGAATGTATATTAAACACCTTACATCTGTGACAATCTGTTATACCCCCCGTACATCATATACAAACTTTCCTGAGCAAAACTTATGTGTGCCTCTGATGAAACTGTATCTCTTAGGAAAAATGGTTTTCAAGATATAATCATTTTAAAAATGGAGGTTTCTTTATAATCATCTCTCATTTAAGATCAGCTTATTAAAACAATTTCATCTCGTAAATTCATAGAAAATTTAATGTTAGTTCCAATTCAATGATATAATTGCTGCTGTCACTTTGACTTTGAAACATGAAATATCCAAGATGTCTTGGACGCTCTACCTGAATTTGTCATATAAAATACTAATGTTATCTGTGCTCTGCACACCGCGTAGAATTGAACCCCAGACTGTAGCGTTACTTACTGTTGACTTGTAAACGAATAAAACTTCCACATAGATATGTCTTTACATGTAAAACGTTACGACTGTGTCTTGTTTAAACAGAATCCTATTTCACATTAATCATAAACTTGTAAACAATAAAACTTCCACATATATATGTCTTCGTTTTTAAACAAGACACAGTCGTAACGTTTTACATGTATGATTAATGTGAAATAGGATTCTGAAACTGGTAAACAAATAAAACTTCCACATATATATGTCGTTCCCCTTTTATATGCATTTCAAGGAACGTTGATGCATGGCGCGATGTCCTTCCTGTGTGTAACATTGTTACTGAAATCTGTGCTCAGGGTCGCCTAGTTCCTGAAGTCTCAACCATTCATTGCATTGTTAACTGTCCAACAGAGTTTACTAGTTTTGCATCACTTGACAAAGTAACAAAGCTTGCGTCAATACAAGATGGATATATATATATATATAGCTTTCTGTTATTAATGTTTATTATCTTGCTAAACTAAAATGATATGATTTTTTTCTTTTTTTTTTGGAATTAAGCACAAAGCTACACAATGGACTATTTGTGCTGTGCCCAGCGTGAATATCGAAACCCGATTTTTAGCATTATAAACCCTCACACTTACCGCTGAATTAAGTTGCTTAAGTTGCTCTTTCACTGCTGCGTTTAATGGTAAATAACTCTCTCAGTGTCAGATTTATATTTTAATACCCATAGAAACACACGTAGTGTTATACAATTATTCTTACTTTATTTGTCTTATCAACACTACCTTTCTTTTAGGGATAACTACCTGAAATATTTCAAAGCTGATTATGTTCTCAGAATGTAATAAAATTTAGTAAAATAGCTATTCGTTATTTATTTCGAAAACTAATATACAACATTTATGGGTTGTTTTTTTTTCATATCCATTTCTCAGGACATTTATATATTACTAGACCACCGTGACCCGTTAAGTCAACCACTATTCAGAGGTTATGAAGAATTCAAGCTAATTTCAATATTGCACCGAAATGAACGTTTATTTTGAGATAATTTAATTAAATATTTCAATCCATTCGTGTTATTCATAATTCAAGAAAAGATATTTGATTGTTGATCGGGAGTAAAAGGAAATACCATTTCAGTTTTCAAAAAAGGTGAAGTAAGAAGTTTCGTAAAGAGCGCGAACGGTGGTGTGAATGATTTTTTGACTGAGAAAATAAGCAAACAAACAAACAATCTCAGAGTTTTAGTAGTATATAGATAGATTCTTCATGATCTTGTTTTTGTTAGCATACGCCTTTTAATGAAGATGGGAACATTGACAGGGAAATAATATAACAGCCAATGCTCAGCAAAAGGTTTTCGTTTATAAAATTTTGTTGTTGTTCTCGACTTGATTTTTATTTTATTACTTCGTCTCCATAGTTACTCTTTGCAAATAGTCTTTAATATTGTAGGTCCATTTTATTGTTGTTCTTTCTACTCGCCGTTATAACACATTTTCATCTCATCATTTAATTTCTGCTGTGCATATATTGTTGTATAAACAAAGTTTTATAATATTTTAATGTACAAAAAGTGCCCCGAAAAATGGAGCTAACTCGGTAATCCGTGGTCCGTTTCTATTCTCATTTTATTACAAATATGGTGCTATTGTGCGTCGTTTTTGCCATATTTAATTACAGACAAGCACACACACAAACAATCTCAGAGTTTTAGTAGTATATATAGATTACATTTTTTTCTAGTCTATATAGTGTGACCGGTATATGTGCCCAAGACGGTGAACGTGTTAGATTGATTAGCTAAGGTAGTAAGTGAAAACCTCGTCAACAATACATAAATACAATAAAATGTAATTGATATACTGTTATTCGTTATTTTTTGCGGGCCAATAAAGAATGGTGTGATTATAATTATTAACATTCTTATGTTGATGGGATTTCACACCTATTACTCATTAATATTCCATACTGTTTATCACACATAAATACACATACTTAAGAAGAAGAGATACGCCATATAATAAAATGGTTGAAATGTCGTTGTGCCACTAAAAGTTAAAAAAAACACGCTCTACCACTTATTTACTGATAGGTATTATACTAAAACTAGGTTAGCAGAGATAGATTATGCAATGAGAATTGACGAACGGGAGAATACGGGCATTATAATCAGACTGTGAACATCCGCCAGGTACAGCAGAATATTGTTTGTTATGAATTCCGCGCAAAGCTACACGAGGGCTATCTGCGCTAGCCTTCCCTAATTTAGCAGTGTAAGACTAGAAGGAAGGCAGCTAGTCATCACCACCTCCTCGCCAACTGTTGGGCTACTCTTTTACCAACGAATAGTAGGATTGACCGTCACATTATAACGCACCCACGGCTGAAAGGGCGAGCATGCTTGGTAACGGGGATTCGAACCCGCGACCCGCAGAGGGCGAATCGAGCGCCCTAACCACCTGGCCATGCCGAGCCACAGCAGAATATGAGCATAATATTCAGATTTCATCATCTTCATATAATGCTCGTATGCTGCTGCTGTTTTATGGTAGAAGTCATTATCTGAATATTAAGCTTACATTCCTGCATTTCGTAACACATGTTCATTAATTGTACGAAATGGAAGAATATGAGCATTATATTTATATGATGAACATTTCAATAAATTGTAATATCTTTTATGAAAGCGTTTGTTATCAAATCGTATTATTTACTTTCTGTCATTGTTAGCATATAAAAAAGTCCTTAAAGCAATTATATCCTTGTCAGCAAATTAGAACATTCTAGAAGCTTTAGTGTTCGTAAAGATTTTATCGACTTAAGCTATATTTTTTTTTGTAATTTTCTCTCAAGTTTGTCAATATACATACAAAGCTAGTGATGAAACTAATTTTTTGATACCGAAAAATCTAACTATGACAGTTCCATCGGTAATTTTTTGAAGACTTCAGTTTTATCACCTTAAAATACTAGGCAAATGCAGTTCACAGAAAATGTATACCACTTCATTCCTGTATATTGAGTAATACTAGTAATATGACACCATCATTACCATCACAATAAATGTTTGGCATCATCCTGAAAATTATAACAAGTATTTATACATTATCCAATGGAGGGTGAATGCCTTATTAGTATTATGAAATCATCTTGACCTAAACGACAAATGAGTGACATCATCTTTTGCTAGATGAGTAAAGCAACCAATGACTGTTGAACCAATTGATTGACAACTTCTGCAAGCTGAGTAAAATCACTACGTATGATCCCCTCGAGACAAGAAATGTTGACGTCAACCATTTGCAAACTGCAGAATGTCATCAGTAATGATATATGCCTCACCTTTACGATAAATGTTAGGCATAATCCCTTGCTAGCTGAGTAACGTTGCCAATATGACATCACCACAACCTCATATGTTGGAGGTTAGTTTGTTCGTTATGAATTTCGCGCAAAGCTACACGAGGGCTATCTGCGCTAGCCGTCCCTAATTTAGAAGTGTAAGACTAGAGAGAAGGCAGCTAGTCATCACCACTCACCGCTAACTCTTGGGTTACTCTTTTATCAACGAATAGTGGGATTGACTGTCACATTATAATGCCCTCACGGCTGAAAGGGCGAGCATATTTGATGTGACAGAGATTCGAACCCGCGAATCGCAGATTATGAGTCGAGTGCCCTAACCACATGGCCATGCCGGGCCATGTTGGAAGTTATTCTCTTACGACTGAGTATTTCAGTAAGTAGATATCACTCTGATATTTACGAAAATCTTAAGTATTATAACCTGCAGGCTAAGTAGTATCACCAATAATACTAACTTGACTTCACCTCTGCAGGTTAAGTGTGATTACAAAACCTGTACGGGATAAACATTGCCCTGTTTTCTTCTGCTCATGACCAGAAATGCGTAAGAAAATAAAAACTACATTATAAGACGAAGATTTTTAACATCTAAAATCAACAAACGTTCACTAAACTAAAGTCGTTTTGCATTACATGAAAATATTAAAATCTTAGATTCACTTTAAAATAAATAAATATTTTTCAAGAATACAAAGTGTAATAACAATAAAACCACAACTATCTTATGTACACTTACCGCCGAAAATCTCCCATGTTATCCATCATCTTCCTGATGAGGTCCTTGGCTATCACGTTAGATATCCGTTTTTGGAGAGCTTCGGTTCGGCTTATAAAATAATACCACAGTTCATTCACAGTAAAGATAGCGTGTCTTCTGGAGCTTTCTGACTGAAGACTTGGGACAACTACCTTGTCTGAGGCAACTCTGATTTGATTTTCTTTCGGTATTAAACAAATTTAAAAAGTATGAAGAATTTTTAAATAAGAAAAAAGTGTACTATTAGCTGAGATAGGCGGATAGATTTTTATCGTATTATCTATCTAATAATATCATTTGAAGTTGACTATTTTACATGATAAACATTCATCATATGAATATAAGATATTTTTAAGAGTTTGTCTTAAATATTTTAAGCACCTACGAACTAACTGTTCTTATGAGAACGTTATAGTAAATTATACATCATAAATGGTTTAAGAAACACTCCACTGTTAGATAAGGTTACCAGTGGTTACTGTACAAACATAGTGAATATGTGAACTGATGTATTACAGTAGTTTTCTGTTATGTTTTAACTGTGGGTTTAGGCGGCTGAATGGCTAATGACCGAATGAGATTTCGTACTACTTTCTACGTTCTGAAAATACATATATAATAGGATAGTCTCTTTTATGGCTTACCTCTCTTTTAGACCGAAAAACATTTTACTTTTTATAGCTGCTATTAACGTTATTCTTATCATACCATTAAAGCTGATTCGAAATTTACTTACAACGTAGTATATACAAACAGACATTGTATGTTACTGTCTACATATAAGTTCAGTACTGTAAATAGAGGTAACTGCACTTCATAAGAACGATAATTTAAGTACCATTGTTCTTCCAAGACCACGTTTGTAAAAACAAATACACAGTTAAATGACCTCGGTAAGAGTGTCCGAGAAGAGGATAATATGAACTACGCTTATATTCTTCACGGTTCCTATAAACACTGCTGGAGACTAAGTGGAGTGACTTGATGCAGATGTAGCTGTCGAAAACTGTACGAGTAGTATCTTGTATATGACAAGTGGAAAACTAACTGTCGAAAACTGTACGAGTAGTATCTTGTATTTGACAAATGGAAAACTAACTGTCGAAAACAGAGTAGTCTCTTGTATATGACAAATGGAAAACTAACTGTCGAAAACAGAGTAGTATCTTGTATATGACAAATGGAAAACTAACTGTCGAAAACAGAGTAGTATCTTGTATATGACAAATGGAAAACTAACTGTCGAAAACAGAGTAGTATCTTGTATATGACAAATGGAAAACTAACTGTCGAAAACAGAGTAGTATCTTGTATATGACAAATGGAAAACTAACTGTCGAAAACAGAGTAGTATCTTGTATTTGACAAATGGAAAACTAACTGTCGAAAACAGAGTAGAATCTTGCATTTGACAAATGGAAACTAACTGTCGAAAACAGAGTAGTATCTTGTATAATTACACAGGCCTGCGATTTGATGTTTTCAAGTAATTCCTGTACGCTGAATCTGAAAATGGTATCCATTTTTCTCTAACAAGAGGCCACATTTTGTTATAATTAAAATGTTGACAACCACTGGCTATAGATTTCTCTAGACCAATCGCTACGTGAGACTCTTATCGATCATTTTAGAACCCACGAGAAACACACTGATAGTATATAAACGCATGACGGCATGTGATGGAATAAGACTAAGACTTTTTATCGTTACCACAGATCGTGGATACCACTCTGGCTGCACCCAACAGATGTTGTTTTTTTTTATAATATGATTAGAATCTGATTATGTTAAGATACAGAAATTTATTTTCAATATAAAACTTTCAACTAATGTATATTTCTACGGAATGAACAGTGTTGAACATTTCACTGATAAAGATAACAGAAGAACAATCAACAAAAGTAAACAAAATAAAAATTACCGTTATCCAGAAGGTACTTGTTGATAGAACATTTTCTGAAAACATTAAATAAATTTGGGGTTAATAAAATGATATATTTTGCATAATATAGCATTCAGGTATTGTGAATATAGTAGACAACGTTTATTTTAGAATTTAAGAAATCAATAAATTGTAGAAATAATGAGATTTAAAAAGTAATTGTAAGTAATAATAATAATAGTTTACTTTGTTTGTAAATAATAATAGTTTACTTTGTGATTAATAATAGTTTACTTTGTTTGTAAATAATAATAGTTTACTTTGTAAATAATAATAGTTTACTTTGTTTGTAAATAATAATAGTATACTTTGTTTATAAATAATAATAGTTTACTTTGTTTGTAAATAAGAATATTTTACTTTGTTTGTAAATGATAATAGTTTACTTTGTTTTTAAATAATAATAGTTTACTTTGTTTTTAAGAAGTTTTAAAGGTTTCTTACCCGAAGAAATTTCCGAAATCTTCTTCAGTCGTTTGTTTGAAATGATAGAAAGATGAAAAATTATCTTTTCGTACATAAAATACGGTTATGATGAATACTAATGCTATGTCGACAGCAACAATTCCAACAATAAAACGTTTCTTTTCCATAATTTGAAAGAGCGGACAAATAGGTATGTGATTCTGGTGAAGTATATTTACTATGAGATTAGCTCGTAATAAACTTCTATGAACTCCTAGCAAACTTTTATAAAACTCTGTAATAAAAAAAAGGTAAAATGTAACAAATGGTAGCCAATCCTGTCATTAACATATACGTTGCAGGAGCAAATTACAAAACTTAATGTTGTAACGATTCAGTATATTTTATGAACAATGAAATATATTCATTTAAGTTTGACAAAAACTAAACATAATATACCAATATGTTGAAAGCCAAACAAACGTACACTTCACATATTAAGCGTGACTCAATATATTTATAAGTTACAAAGAGTGAGGACATTAGAATTATGTTGAAAAGACTTAAAGTATTGTCCAATATTAAACCATTATCCGTGTTTATTTGTCCGGGAACTCCTCTCACAGTTTTGGATCTAGTAGGACCATACTTGGCACGCGGACTCAGAGTAATCCGGGGATGTCTCTATTCTTGTGGCGTAGCATCCCTACCAATATGGGATGAAAGTCCGGAAGGTCAACCAAGCATGATTTTGAAGGTCACTTACCCAAATATGATATCAGGTTCTGTGCTCCTGTCCCCTCTCAGGATCCTGTGGGCACCATGTTTTAAATGTGTTCGTACCCTTACCCTCAAGCTAGCGGGATTAAACTTACCATACGTGCGGGCGAGTGTCCTAACGATATTTTTAGAGCTTGATCGGTACACTGAGGCCACAGTGAGATATGATGGGGCATATGAAAATCAGTAACGGAGCTCGGGTATTTTATATTATTCAGATACAAATACTTATTGTTATTAACACTAGGGCAGGAAGCCCATAATACATAATTTGTAGTTGCAATAGATAAAAAGGCGCAAACATGTAATACTTTTCTCTGTGGCAAATCTGAAAGCTTATAGGTCTAAAAAACAGTTTTCAATGCCTGTGGTTGGCAGAGCACAGTTAGCCTAGCGTATAGATTTGCACTTAACAACAAACAAACGTGGTGTCTGTCATTTAATTAAAATATTTGAAAACAGTTTCTGACGATTATAATAAAGGTCTTATTAATATCAAAGTCCTCTTTAATATTTATTACATTATCAAAATCAAATGATTACTGATCTTGACCGTAATTTCACACACACTATTCTCGACGAAGTTCCTCCGAACATTTCTTGGAAAACCTCACCTTGTGGATCTACCTTTCCACAGTAATTCTGTTTATATTTTCAGGTCCTAATTGCAATGCTTTACCAATTTTTCGAACTTAAGTTAATCTGTATAAAATAACGTCTGTAAGAGATTACACAGTGCACTGCAGTACTTTCAAGTCTCGACAGAAGCAAGAACAATTATTTTTCTTTAAATGTTTTAAGTTTTTTATAAGAGAATTATTAGGATTATGTTTTGAATTAAATCAGTGGTTTTAGATTGAAATTATTTCGATACAGAAAGCCTTTACTGAAGATTTAATGCGGAAATGGCTTGGATAGGTATATAATATTACTACTTACAATGTTAAAAGGAAGAAAGATTAAGTCTAAGTTGCCTCCAAAATTTCAAACTAGCGTTGAATAACATTTTCGCTGGGTTTATGATGGTGATCAGCATGGACACCTAGTATCTAAGATTTCTGACAGTGATGTTTCATCTTAATAAGTAAATGAATCTTGTTGGTGTTTAGATCAATAATTTTCACATATTTATAGTTTGCGAATATGTATCAAGAAAATGATATAATTAATCAGTAGAAATAGCACGTTTGGTTTTGACATAAATATGAATATTTACGATAAAAATTTATTCTGTGTACTTTGAGTAATTGTACATTTACGTTTCTTATGAGGGCGTCGTCTGGTGGACATGTAGAAAATTGTTAAAAGCAATAAGAGTCAGCAAAATATACCATCCTAGAATATCTCTTCGGTATATATACATAAACTAACTTTTGTATGTCTATCTTTGTTTGGTCGTAAGTTAATGGTTGGGAGTTAATGACTGAGGTATTTTGAGATAATACATTTCATAGCCAAACTGTTTATTTGCTTGTTTTGGACATTCGCACAAAGCTACACAAGGGCTATCTGCGCTTGTCGTCCCTAAGAGCACTCACAACCAACTCTAGGGTTATTCTTATTGTGGGATTTCACCGTCACTCTTATAACGCGTCCAATGCCCCAAAGTGGTGACTGTTATTTTGCGAACCATTAGTAGACGCCTAGCCCTCTGCTAATAGGGAAAATCATTTAGTTTAAATACAAAGAAACATCAAAAACGCTTTAATATTTCCATATCGCACTATATATTTAGAACACTCCATTTATTTACATATGTAAAACAAATTGATGATGTGTCGTGCGTTTGAAGCATACAAATGAAGAAGTGTAGAGTCACATCATGGTTAGTTTGAGAAACAATGGATTAGAGCAAGGTCTGTCTGTAATTCAAAGGATAAGATAAAGTGCCCAACAAGCAGAATCATCGTTATTAAAGATTGTTCCATTGATCAGCTGTTCAAAGAAACAATGGATTAGAGGAGGGTCTGTCTGTAATTCAAAGGATAAGATAAAGTGCCCACCAAGCAGAATAATCGTTATTAAAGATTGTTCCATTGATCAGCTGTTCAAAGAAACAATGGATTAGAGGAGGGCCTGTCGTAATTCAAATGGTAAGATAAAGTGCCCAACAAGCAGAATCATCGTTATTAAAGATTGTTCCATTGATCAGCTGTTCAAAGACACCCATTAACAAAAATCATCAACAGGGTCAATCAAAAATGAATACTTCTACCATAAAAACTGTGGCTGACAACCATTAGTGACAACATCAAAAGACAACTGAATGTGCGTGAAAAGCGCAACAAATATGGATGAACTATGTTCCCATTGGGAGGATCTCCAATCACACTATAGAAAGAACGTTATATAAATTGCCGTGTGGCACTCTACAACTAGTTCGAAATTTACTTATCTCAAATGCAAACATAAAAGGAAAGCTACAGTTCATGCTTTCCCCCTTTTTAGTGTCGGTTGAAAGAATTTTTTGAGAAGACTCCATGAAACACTTGACCCAACTTGTGTTGTTCCTAGCAGTGCATGCTATTGAAGGTGGTGTAAAGGTGTTGCAAATATTTCCGTGTCAGGATGAATAAGAATCATATTGTATGCGATCCTTGGTGTTAATCATGTTCACTCCAAAATGTGCAATTATATCCTAATCGAAACAATGCAATCATCCACCGTGTTCATTTCGTTCACAGTTTGTTTGAAATACCATCTTCTCTAACTAGCATAGTCATCGGGTTTTAAGCCATATGATCAGCGTTCGGATGAACTTAATCGTCGCGTTCGTTTCTGTAATCCTCTATCGACATCAGTGAACGAACTACTTCTCATACTCCTGATAAATGAAATATAATCGTAAAGATATCTTTTTCTAGAATTTTGTGGAGTCTACGCAATGCTTATTTCAGGTTTTTATTACTACCCCAGGTGATCCAATCCAATATTTTATAATAGAGGTCCTGATAAAATGATCATTCGATATAGGTTGATTATTAGTGTCAAAATATGTGCAAGATGTTATACAGTCATGAATTTCAATACGAAAAGGCAATAGTCTATTGGAAGTATGGCAAATTGATATAGATAATAGTTGCAGTGTGAAATTTACTATGTAAGGGAGATCATTCACAAATGTATTTTCTCAAAAATGTAAGATCTGCAAAACCTTCCCACTGATTTTACTTCATACATTGCGGTCCAATGTGATGTCTATGCACTGAATGACAGTACTTTCAAAAAAGCTGAAATACACAAGTCGTATAATAAATAACTCAGTAGTATTTGCCATCGTTTTTATCTGATGTGAAGTTCGTAAACACTGTAGTCTTGACGATTGGTAACAAACATTCTGAAACAAAAAGAGATATTTCGTCTATTTTTGAATTGATAGCAAGGTGGTACCTATCTATGAGGTGTTTAAATACCGACTGGTAATTAAGATATCTTAAATGAACATGTTATAGGACAGAATAATTTCTGGGTTCAAATTAACATTGTACTGATGATAATTGTTTATAAAATATTGTCTAAATAATTGAAAGGTTAGGCTGCAGATTTCGAGTCGTCGTTGATTCACAACAACAACAAACAACTGTTGGACGTAGTTAAATGTAATGCTTTCAGGACAACAGCAATTATTCAGACCAAGGGACAGCGATATTTATGACAGGATCTATGCTAACCATGTCCGAATACTTTCGAAAAGTACTGTATTTACACTGACTAACAATCGGTGTTGAATATACAACATTCTTATATAATCAACAGCCAGTGCCTTCATGTATTTAGTAAATGTTCTAACTAAAACAACTAGTTTAGGTATAAAGTTGGGCCCGGCATGGTCAGGTGGTTTGGGCGCTCGACTCGCAATCTGCAGGTCGCGGGTTCGAATCCCCGTCACACCAAACATGCTCGCCCCTTCAGCCGTGGGGGCGTTATAATGTGACGGTCAATCCCACTATTCGTTGGTAAAAGAGTAGCCCAAGAGTTGGCGGTGGGTGGTGATGGCTAGCTG